AACACATTGCAGTAATGTATGGAATAGAAGACTTCACAGTTCCGCGCCATAAGTCACATTATTGAATCCTAATAGAAACACCTTGATTGCTAGCAGAATTCCAACCTTGTATAATTCTCCTTGCCATAGGACATTGATAAGCAACAAAATAACTACAAGTTTTTAAGACTTGAGAAAGTACCCCCATTATTCTACATCAATATGTCAGACTAGAAAAATTTTGAATCCAACAAATTAAGCTTTTAATTTTCATCAGGCAAAATGCTTCCTGCAAAATAATGCAATAGTCACGCTAGTGCACTTGATATGTCTAAACTCTACCATCAGTAGTGGACATAGCTTCAGGAGTAAGCCATATGGAATTGTCTAACAGAGGGTTAGATGCGACACAATGAGGAGATGAAAAGAAAGAAGGGTTCAGATAATTGATAATTGTCTCTTGGCATAAAGTCAAATCAAACACATTAAAAATTAAACTGCTTCTCTTTTTTTCTTTGGTTATTCTAATGTATATGCATTAGTTCTTATGCATTGCAAAGTTTTAAACGGAGAGAGCTGCCCATGTCTCAATAGTGGGAGGCACAATTCTATTTGTTATACATATTCTTCAAATACTCTCAAAATTCCCACTTTGTCTTATAACACCACATGGCCTTGCCAGACCAGCTGGACTCCAAGTTTATGGATATCTATAATTATTTCATATTAGCATGTTGGAAAGAAAGATGGTGAAGTTTTTTTGAGTAGAGATAATCCAACAAATAATAGCACTTGCAAAAGCGGTTCTATATACTTTCCAAAAGTGTTAGTTTGCCAAAAATCTTACCTCATAATTCCTTTAGTCAGTAGCAAAATAGATGCAAAGAAAGAAGACCAAAACATATAACAAAAAGGCAAATATTGATTTTTAATCGTGTAGTCTAATTTCTTTAATCAATATATAAATTTCTCTTGATGTATGATAAGGCACATGAATGTGAGATTATTTATATATACTATTAATATACTCAGAGGATGGATATAATTGAGAAATAATACCAATATGTTCATCACCAATTAAGTCAAATAACTGAGTTGCATTTCCATTGAGAATATGAAAGTGAGCTATTAGTCTTAATGCAACATAATGAAAATGATAATGATTAGTGTGAGAATGCAACAGGCATATGTACTTGTGTTATTGCTATAGTCTCCAGCCTAGGGTGAAAATGATCGATCAAATGTAACATCAATAGAAGTGTAGATTGTGGGTCCTCTTTCTTTCATTGTTCAATCAATTTGATATTTTGTGCATTTGAATGACTAATCAATATATGCATGCATGTATGTAATTTATCAATGCATTTGTCAAAAGTCAAAATTTGATAATTAAGCTTTCCAATTTTGACATACAAATAATGTCATATTTATAAAACTTTACAACCTTTTTTTTATATTATGTAATGTGCAACAAATCAAAACTTTCACTTAGAAAACCTATAACTTTTTGAGATATACACAATGATACCAGAGTTAACTCAAACCACAATAGAAATGCAAATGTTATTGTTGAAATTCAAAGAGGATTACTAACCAAGACTCTTGACCATACAAAAATAACAACACAAACATAAAGACACTCTAGGGCAAGGACGATAAGTGTTGGGCTGTCACAACCCGACCCAATGCTTAGAATTAACTAAGGCTGGAACTGCGGTCGGACGCTATTAACATTTAACTAGCTATATTTAGAAAAATTCCAATACATTAAAGAGTCACTAATCCACAAAATGAAATAAAAATAAACATTCAGAAATATCATGAATAAAAACATCTCAGACCAAAATATGAAGTGTCTCTAAACAGAAGTAAACAATAAAAGAAACTAAAGTTATATTTTAAACTAATACCTATCAGTAGCAGTAGTTCTCCTCCTGTAAACCAAGTATTTCCTACTAGACATTTCACCTAGAACTTTTCTTCTCCTGAAAGAAAACATTAATTGCAACTGTAAGTATAACTTAAGTGAGTAATTATAATCTAATAGCATTAAATTCTTATGTTATGTTATGCATGAATGACTAAAAGAGAAATATATTTTTTTTCATTAAAACTTTAAATTTATTCCTTCCTGTTTCATTTTTAAGTACTTATCAATTTAACATTTTTAATAGTCATCACAGGATTACTGTTATACATGAATGTACCATTGAATTGCACCTGAAAGCATATATTTACCATTTTCTTGAACGCACATGGGTACATTGCATCTCTTACCAGTACCATCTAGGGGTAATCTTGTATGACTTAAACATCTAACTTTCATTTCATTTCATTTAAATTATATCATTTTAAAGACATTAAGCATTTTTTTCTCTTTACCCTTTCATTTTCTTTCATTCTTAAGCTACAACATACATATAAACATAATTGTTTAAAGCATTAAAGAATTTTTTATTCAATAAACTTTAAATTTAATACATATAAGAAAATAATTACTCACCTTGCAGAGCTTGCCACACTGACTCTTGAACTCCTGATTTTCTAGGCTTTAATGTGCTTCAGCCTAAAATTGCAATTAAGCATTAATATTTTATTAATATCAATTCCTAATTAAGTAAACTAAACTTTAATTTAAGACATACCTTATGTTTAAAATTGTTTGTCTTCTTCTTCAAATCCAAGGGATTAGTCGGCCTTCTTCCTCACTTCCTAACGTTAATAAAGTTTAATAACATTAATTAATTAACGAAGCTAATTATGTCATTAATTTTGTAATGACACAAGGTTTAACATGTACTTTATAGGCTTTCAGGTCTATCTCCTTCCTTTCCCGCTTGCTTCACAACTTCCTCTCCTTCAATGCCAAAAATCTTTGTATTAAAGTCCTGATTATATTGACATTGCATTTATACAGCCACACGCCCACACATTCATTAAATAACTTAATAAAAACCCCAAGATACCTTAAAATTCTTTGGTTGTCCAACTCTTTAAAACATACTACTTTCAAAACCCAAACTATATATTTATTATATTAAATTAAATTTCCAAAATTATTTTTTCATATTCATATTTTCAAATCTATATCTATCGAAAAAGTTGACCGACAGTAGGTGGCGGAGAATGGGAAAGTCGACGATAATCACCACGTCAGAGCAAGATACAGTCGGAGCATCACTCATCCTCGGATACAGCCTTAGAAGGGAGACTTGAGACGCTGACGGCTGTCCCAATAGAAAACTCAATAAAAACTAACCCTAATATTGAAAATAACAAATATATATAGTAGATAACTAGGAGAGGGAGACCTCTCCCCTTGGGCGGCAACCCTAGGGTTGCTATCCAAAATCAAGAATAATTATTAATTGTGCTCTTTATTTTGTTTTAAATATAATTTTATGATTTATAAGTATTTTACTTGGATTTTAACTTATTTAATTAAAGAGAGTTTAAGAAAGAAATCTATAATTATTTGGTCTAATGGAATGATTTCTCTATTGTGGCTTGGGTTAACTCAGATATCATTTGGTATCAGAACAAATATTATTATTCCAAAGCAAAATGGGTTACAAGCAAAGACAATTGAAAAATATCGGGCGAGGTTTGAAGGTGGTTGGTTGCAGATTCAGGTGGTGGAAATTGAGAGCTGTAGATGGTAGGGTGACCCAGAGACAAGCTAGGGTAAGGTTGCCCAGCGGCTAGACAATAAGCAGAAGAGGGTTGGCAGGGGTGGCAACAAGCAGCAAATGGTCTGGAAGTGTGCGGCAGCAAGCAGGTGGAAGGTTGGAGGGCGGCAACAATCAGGTGGAATCTTAGAAGGCGACAAAAAGCAGGAGACGGGCGGCTAATGGTTCTGGGCAGCAGCTTGGAAGGCACAGAGGACGGCATCAAATAGAATAAGGAATGATACACACCATTTCTGGATGTACAGCCAGAGTATTTTCTCATCTTCAGATACATCCTTAGGAGACGGAAAAACGAGACATTGAAGGTTGTCCTGACAGAAATCTCAAAGCAAAACTCAATCTAGATCGCAAAAAACACTTGCAAATATTATTAGGCGACTAAGGAGGGTTCCAATTATGTTAGGTCGAAGTTTCTGACCCCTTGGACTCCGGTTGAACTAGCACTCTACTTTTGGAATGGCCCAGTTGGCCGGTTTATTCTTCCTACCCCTGCCTCCTGTCTTCACACCCTTGTCATGCATGTACACTTGTAGCATGTGGCTATAAATAGAAAATGCTAGAAACCTAGTTGATGCAAGATTTTACTATAATCTTCAGTTTGTTTTAATTTTTGTACCGTTTTCTCAACCATGATGGTATAAAGATTAAGACTCACTAGAAACATTATAGCCCTTGTTACTTTGGAACTATTTGCCAACTTATAGGAATTAGTAAATTCTATAAATTTAAATTTAATAAATCCTATGGTGGTAAACTTGAAACTATTTGACATGAGAGTTTTTAAATAGAATCAAATGCTATGAATTTGTTGTCTGTTGACAACTTATTTCAAGATTTAAGTCTATTAAGTCAATTCAAATATGTTTTTAATATAATATTTTGATGATGTAACTATTAAGACTAATTTATTCAATTTATTTTTTACTTTTTTTAATTATATTAATCATTAATTAACAATTTACTAAGCCAACTAATCATTAATTAGATTTTCTATGTATATTCTTAAGTCAGCCGATGCTATTTATCAATGAATGTTGAAAAGCTGATGGTTAAATTGTTGAGAAGCTGTATATATTCTCGTGGGACTCGTGCTTGTCTTGACATTCTACAACTGATTGAAAGACGTTTCTTTGCAGTTTTGCAAGAACGCTGATAATGTTTTAACTGCCATTCTTATTTGTGTGTGTTTATATATGAATATATATATATATGTGTGTGTGTGTGTGTGTGTGTGTGTATGTTCATCTCTATCCCATTCGGTTTCCAAAATTATATGTTTGGTGAAACCATAATTGTAGTTCTATTTCATTGATTTTGCAATTCTTCTCTCAGATTGGTGATCTGGGGCTGTCTAAGGTGAAGCAACATACTTTGGTGTCTGGAGGCGTTCGAGGAACTTTGCCATGGATGGCTCCGGAACTTTTAAGTGGAAAGACTAGTATGGTATCTGAAAAGGTATGTTATTTATAGAATGGAGCATTTACATACATGACACACAATTCTAATGTATTTACATATCTCGTATCTAAACTTTCATAATTACACATGACACTCAAATCTTTAATATAACATCAAAAATAGCACTATTACCTCTTTTTAAAAGTGAAATATAACTTTTCATGCATGGCTTTAAAGCACTATGGAGCTATGTATGTAAATATGAAAGTTTAGGTGTGAGATATATAACTACATAAGAATTGTGCGCAAGGTTTTTGAAATTTCCTTTTTATTTATAAAATTCAGGAAAGCAGATACTCCATCTCATTATTTTGTGTTCTTAGCCTGCTTGAACTTGTACCCTGTTTTGTCTTATTTTTCTTGGAGGAACTATTTGCTGCTGTTTTACTGTCTTCATGTTTGTCCAGATTGACGTTTATTCGTTTGGTATAGTCATGTGGGAGCTGCTCACTGGTGAAGAGCCTTACTCGGATAGGCATTGCGCATCTATAATCGGTACGCTTGCAATAGACAATTTTCCTATAAATACTCTTTTTGTATTTAATTTACATCTCAAAGGAAAAATAATTGTGGGAAAATTTCTGACCAAAATTTGGCCAGGACAGATTCTAATATCCGTAAAGGAAGATTTACATACATAGGACTCAAGACCTATGTATTTACATATCTAAATCTAAACTTTAACTTTTACATACATACCGCTTTACCTATGCATGCAAGTGTGTATTTCATTTTTAAAATTTTAAAATGGTGTTATTTTTATGTGACAAGAAAGTTTTTGGTGGTATAAATGTAAGAAGTGGTATTTTTTATGTGATAAGAAAGTTATAGGTGGTATAAATGTAAAAGGTGAAGTTTAGATGTTAGATATGTAAAAACATATGAATTTAGTTGGTATGTATGCAAATGACCCATCCAGAAATTTACTCCTCAAGTTTGGTGCAATATAAGAGTTGATTAATTCTACATATATTATACTCATCTCAAAACACATCCAAGAAATTTGATGACAGTCAGGATGCATTTTAGATCTGCTTTGAGATTAGAGCAATACAAGAGTCAGTTAATTTTCAAGTATTTTACGCATCTTAAAGTATGCCAAAGAAATTTAAAATTAATTATAATCAAATTGGAAGATTTACATGCATACTACTCAATTTTTATGTATTTACATATCTAACACCTGTACTTCAATTTTTACATACATACCACTTTACTTATGCATGAAAAGGTGTATTTCAGTTTCTATAAGTTAAAATGGTGGTGTATTTTTTATGTGATATGCATGATTATGGTGGTATAAATGTAAAAAAACAAAATATAGGTATTAGATATGTAAATACAGAGGAATTGGTCAGCATGTATGTAAATGCCCCATTCAAATTTTGGCCAGGTTATCCTGACCCTCACCTTTCTGCACAACTCTTTATCCCTATCAGTTTTTAACAGAACAATGCCTTCATATTTTCTCTTAGGAGGAATCGTGAACTGCACTCTGCGTCCTGAGATCCCAAGCTGGTGTGATCCTGAATGGAAATCATTGATGGAAAACTGCTGGTCTTCCGACGTCCGTCCTTCTCCGAAATCTCTCAGAGGTTAAGAAAAATGGCAGCTGCAGCTAATGTGAAGTGAACTTAACCTCCTTCCACACCCACTTACTTCCAGAAAATGTTGGAAGAAAAACTATAAAGGCTGAAATTACTGTTATATAAAAATGTAAATAACTTATTTTGTTTTTCTTGCTTGGTGATGTCTTGGCTCAGGCATCTGTGGATCCGATATAGTTATTGCGTACATGATTATATTTGTTCATGTAATGCATAAACTATGCCCCTCATATCGGTGTAAATGAAAATGCCATTGCAGCTACGAAGTAAGACAACTATGCAATTTCATTTTAGCTTTCCTCACCTTCTTATTTGTCAAACATTTTTCTAATGCATATTACACTTGTATTTTGTTTTTGTACAGGATGTTAATATGTTAAGAGATGAGGGGACTTAGAGGTAAATATCTATGCATGATGTTCTGGAGAAATATCTTCTTAGAGGCACATTAAATTTTCATTCTGCCGTGTAAATATTTATTTATTTTTGCTTCAATTTTTTTAAAGTCGAGCCGTGATAAACCGTAGCACTATAATTTTTTTTCTACACACACATATGTATGCATATGCATACATATATGTATGTATGTATATGTATACATTGGGTTTCTTTGGTCATATGATGCCTGGAAGAATTAGAAGATTTCTGGAACTTAATTATCATTTGTGCTGATTGAATAATTAGGATTAAATTTGATTGTAATAATATTCTGCCACAATCTGCAGCACTTGTTTTAATGAATTTATTTTTTGTTTTTTCGCATAAGTTTTTTGTTGTTTCAGAGAAATTTTTTTGGGCTAAGATATTATATCCAATTTTGATTAAGATGAATGTCATTGTCAATATATAAAAAATAAAATAAAAAAATAAAAAATAATAATTGATTTGATATATATTATATTTATTTTAAAAGTTAATTTTATATTTAAAATTATATTGAATCATGACAAAGATTTACTTCACAGTTACACCTGTTAAGCCTGCTTTATTTTTATCTTTATTGGAAACAGGTGGCAAAACCCCAAAACCCAATTACAGCTGACGTTGAACATGTACAAGTATGCCACGTCATTCTTATGTATTCCATATCTGACACCTAGTATTTCTTTTTTACGTTTATGTCACTCGAATATTTCATTTAACACTCGTAATTTAACTTTCAAATAGTAATATTCACATTTTCATGCAAATAAGGCAGCATATATATATAGTAAAAACAAGGCGTCCTAAGTTAAAAGTTTGTGTTTTATGTGTAAGTACAGTGTATACATAATAGTTAGCATAAATTTCAAAGCATTTGAACGGTTCAGACGACGGCCGGATAATTAAGCCGTCCTACTGCCTTATTGTTAGCCAAGTAGTTAAGAATCGATCGACACATCATAGCGAGATATTCGAATGATTGAACATTAAGATGTTCTGAAATGTTTCCAGCTCGTGCAACACCTTGATCAGGCCATCCTGTAAAGCAGCAAACTCTGCCTACATGGCTGTGACTATCGAGCCCATGAACATCGGAGGGACTGAAACCTCTAGCACATGATCAGCGACTAGGCCTCTGGCCGACCCCGGTGATGAACCGGCCCTCGCCGCCTAGGACCTGGTCAGCCCGGTGCGTTGTCCCACGGCTCCAAGAGAAGGTGATTGATGCTCCATTCGCTCCTATCTAGTACCAGCTGCGGGCAAAGGAGCAAAAGACTGGTATGCTCTCAAAACGGTTGCTGGCAAGACTTCCGTGAGCTCGGTTGTAGACCGGCCACTGCTGATTAAAAAATAACGACAGCAGATACAATGTCAAGCATATGACTCTATTTATAGAGC